TCCTCTCAAACAGTCCTAAGAGCGTTCAGAGTGCGCTACTTCACAGGGGGATTCGCCCCCTTGACCCCGCCGGGGTCATACGTAATTCGCATAACGGCTCCCCCCCCCCTTTCAAAATCCTGGCTACGTCCCTGTGGCGGGATACGGACCTGCAACCTTTTGCTATCAAGGCGAGTGTCATACCCATTAGAGCACAGAGACCTATAAAATATAGGCGAAGATATAGCCTCCAGGGGACTGTATTCTTTGTGTCTTTGGCAGGCAAAATTTACTTACGAAAATGGCAGGTAGGTCCCGAATACCCTGTTTTCGAGCAATCGCATCGTACGCCTTCTTCTTTGCTATTGTACACACATCTACCGTTATTTTCACAGGCTAGGTCAGACGTAAGGCAAGGATCCGTAACTTGGCATGATCCGATCGTAACTCCATTCACCATATTCGTATTCGTAATCTCGTTTGGATAAATTGTAGCAGCCTGAAACGTGATTTCTTGCATGCAGCCTTCAAAACCTATATAAATTCATTACAATTGTTGTCAAATTTATTAATTAAATTCTAAATGGTAAATTTAAAAAATAAACATTATATATTTAAACTCTGGAATTTATTTCTTGTTAAAATGAGGCTCGTGAAAGTGGCGTGAATAATATACCGGTATAGTAACGTTTACTTCATCTGACTAAACACTTTTAAAAGAAGGTACTTTTTGTGTTGAGTTAACAAATACTTTGGGTTGAGTTAGCAAGTATTGTCCTACCCAATATTGATAGAAACATAAATACTGGCCTTGCATCTTATATACCCTTACATCATCTTAAAGACCACATAAATAAGCAGACTGTGTTTATTTTTATTGTAAGTAGACGCTATTTGATCCATAGAGTACTACCGTGTTTCGTCACGATATCACGTGATACTACCCCGTTGCTATCTTTGCAAAATGAGTTCAACCGGACGCCATTTTCTCTACTGACAAACCATTGATCCAAGTTTACAACGTAATTATTAAGATGTTGTATCTTTTCTTTGTAAATTTTAATTGCTGAATAAATGTGTATTTAATACCTAATATAGTGCGAGCTTTTGTGTTTTAGTATATTTTGATGGTAAAATATTTGATTTTAAAATGCCTATTCCAGAAAGCATATGAAGTCATTCAGGCGTAATGAACGGTAACCAACGTCTGGTTGGCGACAGATGGTGCCACCTGGCGTTGTGACTACATGACTGTGGTACTCTATAAGAAAAGAAATTGTTTTAAACAGGGAACAGTGAAATTACCGTTTTTCAGATTTTAGTAGTAGGGCATTCCACTAAGCACAACCCCTTAAATATTTTTGCTAAATATTTAATTAATTATACTTCTAATTTTTATAATAGAATTATAATTATGAAACATAAACGAACCTTGACCTGTGTTAGTCCAACCTCCACCTAAATAGAGGTCACTGGTGGGGGTCAATGTGTGGTTTGTAATCTGAAAGCTTGTCTTCGCTGCATCCACTGTTAAAGTTGCAGAACTTTAGTAAAGTAAGAGTAGACAATATAATATTATACTACTGTTGTATGCACATGTATACAAAATTCATTCCATCGATGGTTACACATAATTGTGTTAGTATACTGTACTAGTAACTGACGAAACTTTTCAAAAGTTTCAAAATATAAATGAAAAATACTTGTGTTTTAATTTATTTATTATATCACTGTAATATAGATATAATCTTCTTTGGTAATTTTTGTTATATTTACCTAGGCCTATCATTTAAAAATCTTTTTACCACTCCAGTTATTACACTTATTGAGTCTTTAGAAAGTCGACTTCACCAACGGAACCAGAACCACACTTATAGTTCATGATTAATAAACGAATGTGCAGTATTGCTGTTTGACGTAAAACAAAGTTAAGCAAATCATTTGCATACCCTTCCATAATTGAAAATTCCACTGTGTGCCACATGGTATTATTCAAGTGTTCTCCAACAACCATGGTGTATGTAATAAGGTCATTTTCTTTTCCTAGTTCCAATACGCCTTGCACTCTGTTGTCAAGCAAGTGAAGCTGTAGAATTGTGCACAATGTGAAATTAAAATGACAGTACAATTTATATCTCGCTATAACTATAATATATCCATTGATATATTAATGATATACTATTATTTAAAAAATTCATTATAGTAATCATATCATTGACCTACACTGATTTTTCCCCCAATGTCATTCTCATCTTGAATCGCAACCAGAAGAAGGATAGCGTTGCGCTGGACAGTTTTCAGTTGAAATCTATTAAGAACATTGACAATGATTAACTACTTTTGTTATCGTGACAAGGAGAATAATTCGTACAAGCAAAGAGGTACCATTATACAACTAACTAAAAACCATGATACAACGTAGTACAATGATACAATGAACATACGTTACTATCTGGCTCTTATACACATCTAGATGTGTATAAGAGACAGGCCAACTATGTACAGTGCCATGGTACAACCGACAACCAATAAAGGAACAATGGTACAAGCGTATAAAATTAGGTACCATGTTGGCTTAGCAATAAATCATGGTACAACCAATGAAGCAAGCGCAGTGGTAACCGGTACCAAACAATACCAATATAACCAACAACCGATTTTACCTCTGAAGTCAATGTTCAAAGTACAATATTGGCAGTCAATTAGGTACCAAATACAATCAACAACCAAGATGCACTAAAGAAACATGATAGCATGAACCTTGTTTGCAATATACATTTTTTGTAAAACGTGTTATTTGCATTCAGATCATCAAAGGAGAAGAGATTGCTTGTTTAAAATGAGATAGGGCCTATTTGTACTAACCTTAGATTAAGTTTGCCATCGTTCCATCCTTTTAGAATAAGTTGCGATCGTGAAGTGGGGAAGATAATTGAAGAATGTCCGAGATCCCTGCATCCATACTCAGGCTTGCTATCTTCCTCCTTCCCTACGTACTTGACTAACGGTCGACTTAAAATAAGCTCCTCCAGAATGTTAGTTACTCCAAAACTCACGTGCTTCAGGCATCCAATAAAATTACTGCCTAACATTAATCCTATGAGAAAAAGAAAGTTCCATCCACAAAAGCGCAAGTAATAAACAATGTTTGTGGACACACCCACCCATTCAAAAAGTTGACTAAGCAGCGGAATTATTTTATATAAGCTTATTATCAAAAGAGAAACACTTTTGGCTATTAATGCAGGGTGTTTTTCATACATAGCTCTCACAAGTACTGTGGCTTATTCAACGTAAATGGTGCATCACAGGCGTTATAAATATTATATCAAATATTATAAATATCATTTGATTTTAATGAAAAACACTAAACTTATTAAACAAGCAAGTAGGTCCTACTTACCTTCATAGCCCTTGAGGACTGGTCCTCCTCCAACGTACACCGTCTCACCAAGGTTCAAATAATTTAACTGGGGAAGAGTGTTGTTTCTCGTGTACCAAACACCATCGATTGATCGAGTGAGGCTAGCGGTAACTTGTGTTGCTTCATGTTGTAATTTAATTTCATACCAACTGCATAATCACAAATGATTGGTCAGTTCACATTGAAGAGATTTCACATGACTTTTTTTTATAATAGGCCTTATCGATGGTAATGGCTACGATGAAAATGAGAATAGTGGTCCAGCGGATAGCTATATAAAATAACACAAGGATGGTAAACGTGATGATAAGGACGAAGTTTATTACAATAGCGACAACGACGATGATAATCATGATGAGGAGAATGATAATGACTATCACAATGAATATGATGTAGATTATGATGATATCCGAGATTGCACGAGGTCTTCAAATACATAATACATTTTTTAATTGAAATAAAATTGAGATAGGGCCTATTTACATGAAATGTTATAATTGTACTTGAATATTATATTCATTTACAATATATAATATTAGTTTTAATTCAGTTAATACTAGACCTACGGTATTGGTTAGAAATTGTCCTACACATGAATAACTAGTAAACAATTATTCATTTTTCGTTTCATGGATTTCAAACTTTTACTTATTTCAGCAAGCCTGAGGCTGTGAGATGCAATATACAAAGTAAGCGACATGAAGCGTATATGAATTAAATCAAAAAGTATTGCTCTGACCTGTTGTCATTGACTTTAGTCTCATTAAAATGATAATTAAGAGCCTTGTAGCCAAAATTAATAGAAGCCATCAATTCTCCATCAACTATTTCAATTGCAACATAATTGATCCCTGGGGAGAAACTATGACCATAAACCAACACTCCGGATCTTTGTTGGCGTTCCATCTGTAATCAAAGGAAGTTAGGAATAAAATTATTATTATTATTATTATTTATTATTTATTATTTATTATTTATTATTTATTATTATTATTATTATTATTATTATTATTATTATCATTGATTGTTATTATTATTATTATTATTATTATCATTGATTGTTATTATTATTATCATTGATTGTTATTATTATCATTGATTGTTGTTGTTGCTGTTGCTGTAGTTGCTACTGTTATTGTTGTTATTATTAGTAATAATCAGGATTTTAATTGATGAAGCAGTTGAAAGCTCACCTTAAAATTTATGTGCACGTACACACTAGGTGAGTAAGTATTCTCAGATTTGGTGTTAACATTATACTCAAGATACGCCTCCCCTTGTAGGGTAATAACTACGTCATCTGAATGAAAATAAAAAAATATTACAGTATTGGAATTTGTCGTAAATATCATTCAGATTGTATTTAAAATGCTGCTGTTAATCTGGCACACACTGCGCTCATCATCGGTCACCAGCCCTTAGTGGACAAATGTATCTACTCGTCTCTTTTAGAGCGCTGACGCGATGACGTCTGCTGGGAGTCAGTAGCAGTGAGAACGTGTCACCGACGCGTCGGTGAAAAATCCGTCGCGCGCGCCTAGCAATGAATTGCATCCTACATAAAAAAAAATGTATAGGCCTAACAAAATAATGCGACCTACCAGGAGTGTCACAGTTCCAGCCAATGAATCCAGTGTGGCTGCAGTCACATATTGTGTTCGTGTACTGATTTACACATTTCCCACCATTTCTACAAGCATTCTCCATATCACATTTATTAACGCAACCTTCTTGCACCAAATCTGTAACAAATAATAGTAAAAATCCAAATTTTCATTCATTTCTAAACAGTAATTCAATATTTTATAATTAATGGCAATTGGATAGCAACAAATAACTAACTATAGGCCTAACCCTTTTTTTAAATAGGCCTATATGTTATTAATTATTGAATATCATTTAAAAGAATCGGTTGTAATTTTTTTTTTAAATGGCTGTATGATTTTTTTGACTAGTTTGTATATCTTGTCCTGTCTTATGGTTTGAGTATGAGGACTACAAAGGAAATAAGTATGCCGACGTTTAATTCCCAGCAAACGCAAAAACGTTACTATAACGTTCGAAAAAGTTATGTGATTATGTATGTGAGAAATTAACTTTGACACAACGTTCAAGCAACATTTAAACGTTATTTAGGTGTAAAATTACGTAGGCCTACTGTATACGCAGCACATAAATGGAAACATGTGACGTTCCTTCCCTCCGTGAGTAGGAGTTGCCAATTAGGAATTTTTCCTTCGGCAAGCAAAGGCACTCCTGAAGCCTCCCTACGAGGGTTACGGTTATCATTATCTTTTTTTTATTCGTAGTTAAGATTCAACTGTTAATAACCCTCTCGACTTCTGTTTTGCGCCATGAGAATATTTTATGATTGCTGGCGCATTGTACATCATCATCATTACCATCATCATCATCATCATCATCATCATCATCATTATCATCATCATCATTATTATTATTATCATTACTATTAACTTGAAATTGTTAGCTGGGTTGATTGTGCGTATGTTTATTTTTTTATCCTATTTTAGGTCGAAGTTAGTATATGTAAAACAAAAAAAAGTATTAGTATTCCTAAATTTAGCATTTTCATTATTAATCAATTGATGAATATTGTACTCACTTGTACTGTTGTACATGTTAAACATTGTAAAGGATTCAGAGATGAGAAATTCCGGAGTTTGAAAACATCCAACGAAGTGGGTAAAATTTCTATTTGCTGGAGTTTTCATGTTTTGCCACAAACCTTAAAACAATAGTAATGGTTATGTAATTAATAAGCAACGAAGAAGCAGTTTAAAAACAAATTATAATGCAATCAAAATGCTCAACTAAATTCGCCTAGGGACAATAAATATTTAAGTGATTAAATTGAAATACATTTTGACCATACAGTAAGTAAAACAAGTCGAGGAAGTTGGAAGTGGAAGGAGGCTATTACTGTTATCAATTAGTAATAATTAGAGAATAAAAATGTCTGGTAAGAGTCTTACTCTTAGTAATGTTGTCATTGGTACCAACAAGTACATTACAACACTACCTTGCGATCAACTACAGGAAGACAGTTATATTCAACCAGATAGTTGATGAGCCTCAACCAGGTAGTTGATGAGTCAGTATGACTATCTTCTTTGATTTGGTAGGCTCCTAACATTCGGTCCCACATAACTTACATAGAGGAGTGATTAGAAGGAGATAAGAAGAATGATTAGAACAGAGAAGAGTTATAACAGTAAAAAACTATATAGAAAATGATTAGATCAAGAAGAGAGACTTCACACACTTATGTATAATGTATACAATTGATAGGGATTTGAATAAAGGGACACTGAACAACATACAGTGTACTGAAAATAATTTGATTTCTATCGTCTCATGCCGGTCAACAAACAACCCCACACGACAAGTAAATACATATTTTTTTATTTTATAAATTGCCCTCCATAAAAATCTTTTGTATTAGGGGTAAAGCGAAAAACATTTTCCTAATCTCACCTAACGCAGGCCCGTATTGTGTGGGGGGGGGGGTGGTTAATGGGGTTACGACGAACCGCCCGAAAACTGGAGATGGTCCGCATTTAAAAAAGAAAAATTGATATTCGTAGATATATTTAAAATGTTCTCCCGAGTATCGGAGATCATACAAGCCAAATGGTCCACTTTCCACTGAAACAAACCTCCCACAAATTAAGTGACGCTACGGGCCTGTAACTCAAACATGAAGGTTATTTAAGTAGGTGGGTGATCAGCCACGACGAGGCAGAGTTTAACCAAGGTCTTCAGCACAAAGAAGCAGGAACAAATCCTCCCAGCCAACCACTCCACCAATAGATGGTAATTTATTTATGATTTTTTTTTTGTCATTTATCATCTTACCTCCAATAAATATATATGATGACATAGGTAGTTTGTCAAAGGTTTGTAGAGCGCCACCGACGTCGTAAGCGTCCAAGTATTTAACTGGTGCCGTCTGGTTGTCAACAATGAAGTAGAGTAGTCCATTAGACTTTCTTTCGTATGTGACAGTATGCCAAATATCGTCATTTAAAGCTTTACCTAAATATATACTTTAACAAAAAAAATATTAAATTCAGTACAATTTTGTAAATGGTACTATGTTTCTAGGATGATAGTTTATCATGGTCCAGGTCTGATCCTACATGCCCCGATAAACACCCGGCCCGCGGGCAAACTCCGGCCTGCCAAAGATTTTGATCCGACCCGCGCAACATTGCTAACAAATAAATAACTTTTCGTACGATTTTCAATACATACAGAAACGTTTTTCTGTTGAAACACGACTACCTACTTTGGCATTATTAACACGAGCCTGGCTTTTTCTTAATGTATATCACTGTATCTATCTAGTGTCTTGCCATGGGGAGAGGAGACGGGTTGGTAATTCTTGTCCTAATTGGGGAGAGGGCGACTGATGGGGACAAATGATTAAGTGGGGGAGTCACTTACACTTACAAGACTTGTAAGCCTACAAAGTGGGTAGGGCTGACATTGAAGAAATTGAAAGTACACAATTTATGTCGGCACGCCGGTGGTCTCAACAGATTGATTAGATTGATTGAAATTGGACCCAGCTTTAAAATATTGAATACCAGGGCTATATTATAGTCTAAATATGCGTATAATGTTTCTGTTATTGCTTTTATAGTGGTAGGCCTAGTTGACTATCCATCTGATTAAAATGTGAAAATCCTGTTGTCCTATCCATCTTAAAATTGGATGTGGTACATTTCTATAACATCGGGGAAAGCCAACATTGACGCCTACCTTTCCTCAAACTGATTGTACAAATGAGTAATCCTTAATTCCCTGTTCACCAACTCAATCCAGAGGGCGTATTTTGGATTTGTAAGGTCGCGATATTCCTGGTAATAAAGTAGAGCGTCACCTTGGACTGTCTTGAATCGAAGCCTCGCACCATGTTCGTCCACCGGAATCCATGGCACAGAATATTGTGCGAAAGATGAACCAGGATTTATGAAAGTATATTTTTTATCTTGTTGACAATACACAAAGGAGGCGAAGATTAAAACCAATATAGGCCTACTGCTTATCCATATTGATTTTTTATTCATGCTGGTGATTATCTGTATAGGAAAGAAACACGCATTTTAAAAACTGATTATTTTACCATAGATAAAAATCAATCATTCCTTTCATTAACCTTAGAGATGATATACAATAGGCCTATATCCCCGACAAGGGGCGGATCCATAATTTTTCAAACGGGGGTTGGGGAAGAACATTTTCAGAATAGATAAGTGAGTAGCGCTAATTTCAATTATGCATTGAAATTATAAAATTTAGTGGCAAAACTGGGGGGGGGGCACTTTCCCCCATGTTCCCAACTAGATCTGCGCCTGCCGACTTTAATCTTAGATAAAGGAAGAATAATAGCTTTCAAAAGCTCTTGTGGCAAATGACCATGTTTAAACATCAAATTAAAGCAAAGGCTGAATAGAAAATTAATTAGTCTATTACTGGCATAGACAAGATGTTATTTTAATTGATTGAGAGATAATCAGTTTTACAAATTTTTATATAAAATGCAATAGTTAGTACTAGCACGCTTGGCACTCTCCTTTATCAGTGATGCTTTGGATTTCGCTTAAATAAATATCAAGTAACATCAATTCAACGATTCTGTCTTCAACACGATGGACAGAACAAATCTGATCTATAATATTCTTTGTGCAACTGGCTGTTCGACTAGTGGCTTTGCGATATTCATTATATTTCAATTGCGGAATCGGTTCAGTTCAACACATCTTCTGATTTCAAATCAGTGTATCACTAAACTTTTTTCCGTTGATGTGCCATTTTCTCAATCCAGACTTACTGACTCGGCTTTCAGAACCAAATGCTGAGGCAGAATTTCTTTGTAAGTTCTGGTTAAGCAAGCACATGTTCTGGTCAAGTACATGCAACAACGGCTAATCTTGTGGAACTTACAACCGATCGTTACTTCGCTGTAATGTATCCACTGAAGTGCAATGTATTCTAGGAAAAGTTTAGCATAAAAGTATTTCTTTTGCTGATTCCCTGGACATGTGGTTTTGGGTTTATTACCCCCTGGTTATGTTACACAGTGTATCACAGGGTATCACAAAGCATTTGCACTGATGTGTGGTGGCTACATCCTTGTTATTGCTATTAGTTCAATGTTGTTTATTTATTTCAACATTTTTCGTACGCTCCGAAATACTTGAATATTTTGCAATAAACTAGTAGCGTACACAATATTCCAACCAGAAGTTACCAACATTATTTGTTAGTTTGGCTAGATGTAAACTTGAAATATACAAACGTTGTTATATATTATGGAAGTTTGCTATGGAACAGTTTACCATATGAATTAAGACAACAACATTATAACAATTTTAAATCTGCCCTTAAATTGCATCTTAAATATAGATATTGAGTGTTGTTTAAAAATATAGATATGCTTTTAGTAAAGAGTAGTTAATTTTTTTTTTTATTGTAATGCTTTAATGTACCGTAGGGCCCCTCGGAAGAGCAGTGATTTAACTGAGAGGGCTACCCTACTGCAAGAAATCGTAATAAATATATAAATAAACATAGGCCTAGGTATTAACTTGGCATCAATGTTTGTTTGTCTTTAAATAAACCATCTTGAACATTAAATCTTCAAAACAATAAAAAAAAAAAAAACTCAAACCTGATTTGTTTAATAACAACAAGTGACATAATTGATGAACTACAGGAATTTATAAACGTCCTCAAAGTTATTATTTCTACCTGTTACGGACATTAATGAACCAGTTTACTACATTACAGTAGCAATGGCTTTGTGTAATAGCTCATGCTATAATTACCATAGGAATATTATTAGTAATACTTTAAAATCAACCAGTCTAGATGATCTACAGACCCACACTCCAGTGAAGGCTCCAGCAATTTGCAGATAGGGGTTCCAACAAATCTAGCAGAGGATCCAGACTAAGGACCTCCTATAGAGCCTTGGTTCAGCGACACTGAGAAAACCAAAGATGGTTCAGGGGGAAGATTGCATTGTTTTAAGTATAGTAAAAATTGTGATCTATATTAGATCATAATAATTAATAAAAATTAATAATTAATAATAATTAATTACAATATCCTATTTTTTAGTCCGACTACCTCAAGTTGGTCCAACGACAGAGTTTATGCTTGTTGTCGGATATGGAGAAATTTCTAGCTGAGACCCCTTCTGCTTGTACCACCATTGACCCGATCCACACCATTTTTGGGCTCTCTGTCTTTACTTTTAATGTGCATTATACATATAGGCCTAATAATGATTATACCTGCTCTTGAAGGCCGGTGTCAATTGATTGCACGTAATAGAATAGAAGCCGGGTTCGCAGGTGCAATGTAACGGCTATAATAGGTCTACGGTCTCCCAGTAAATCATGTTCAGCTAGATAGCTATGTCCAACGCAATATTTTCATGACAGTTTTTTTTAACAGTACGATAGCAAAATACGTCAAAAAATCCGTACAATGCATAGACATATGTATAGTGTTATAGAGGAAATTGATGGGCATTTACCTCTGGACTAGGTTCTGGCTAAAATGAATAGGGCTTGAATGAATTATGGCGGAAATGTATCAAAAACGTGACGAAGATTACGTAGTATCAGGATGTTTAATCATTTCTTCATTACAAATTCGTACAATGCATAGACATATGTATTGTGTTATAGCAGAAATTGATGGACATTTACCTCTGGACAAGGTTCCGGCTACAACGAATAGGGCTTGAATAAATCATGGCGGAAATGTATCAAAAACGTGACAAAAACTTACGTAGTATCAGGATGTTTAATCATTTCTTGCTCAATACACTGATTTACATTTGTTCAATTCGTAAAAGCAACTGAAGCATATAATTTCGATTGTAGTTGTTTAGTGCACACTGCCTATGAATCATGGAAGCTTACCATGGACTTTGATCACTTTATGTTTGCGCGCGAACTGTTGTTTGAATAAAACGACTGTTATTATTTCCATTGAAAATCGAATAATTCAAGTATATATATTAAGATCTTTCCAATGTGCGTTAAGAATACTTCAATAAATTGTGGAGCAAATGCTTGTCATTGGCCGTATTCGACTGGTCGTTCTTCGTTAAACCACGCCCACCTGCGCAGCGGTAAAATCCTACTCAACGAAGACGACCAGTCGAATAGAAAACTTGTAAATACTCGACAAAACAAAATGGCTGTATAGTTACCGCGATACACGTTGCGTAATCAAGATTGCTTTAACTTGTGGTAGTATGGGTTTTTCGTTAAAAAAAAGATTTTCATCCAGTTTTTGAATTCTGTTAGCCTACAATTATATTTTGACTCTATGTGGGTAAATATTAGAATTTTTATTTTATGAAATTTAATGTGAGTTATATTAACGCAAATGTTGTTTATAAACTCACCAATCGGCCATGTTTTTTGGTTGTTTTTTTTTTTTGGTCAATTGGATAACTTGACGCTGATTAATGCACTCTGGTTTACGTTAATTTTCGTTGTCAACGAAGTCTATTTAACGAACCAGTCGAATGAAAATAATACTCAACGAAAATTCGTATGGTAGTCAACGAAATGAACCAGTCGAATAAGCCCACTGAGTTACACGATAGCACGATTAAGACTGTTTTTTTGATAAGCAATCATTCTTTGAAAATTCAATTAAAATTGAAATTATAATAAAAGCATGGAAAACCGAAATGGCGCGTTGTTGTACTACACGGTTTATTCGTAGCTTCCTTCCTGAAAAGTAAGCCTAGGCCTATTAGACAATTACTCTAAGTAGTTTAATATTACAATTATTATATTCCACTGGATAGGCCATTTAAAACCATTTTGTGTGTCGAGTGGTAGAAATTTCGAATTTTAGTCTTTAATAATCGAGTACATTAGAACGTTCTTGTCCAGAGAGTGTGGTTGAAGGGAGAAATACCTATATACTGGTGTCAATTCTATGGATTTAGGTTCAGGATTGAAAATTCAGTTAATCAGCACTAATTAGATTTAACACAAATAAGCTGTTTCATATTCTTTTGAATCGTGATTGGGCCTCCTAGGGCTAGCACGTAATATTTGTCTTTGTACAGCTAGGTCTATTCGTGGAGCTCTGTGGTCTATTTGTATTATTGTTAAAATTCCTGAAAACCTGACAAACGACGATTGTTCATTTTTACAAAACTAGGTTATAGTTCATTCAATTTCCTTTTAGATTATCCACCGGTCCATGGCATTCAATATAATATAAACCTCGTTGCTCAGGTTGGGGTAACAACCTTAAAAGGCGCTGGTAACAGCAGAACTGAAAGAGAAACGAAATAATTATTTCGAATTGTTTTTTATCGCATTGGTAAGTTTCAACGTGTAAAAGTTTGATATTAGACTTGGATTCCAAATAAAGTTTGAAATGAAGGTGAAAGATGCCTTTTACATAGGGGACTATTTGATCATTAATTTTATATCTAGGCCTACAATAGTATAATCCGAGATACTGCCGATATCACTCTTGAGGGTGAGGCCTTGTAAAAACGCTTAAACAAACCTACTAAATATGAATATACAACGTGTCTTGATGTGACGGTACATGAAACCGAATTCTAGAGTCAAAAAAGACGGTTCAACACTTGAATATCGATCTGGGATACTAGTCATCTAATCAGCTGTAGGCCAATCTTTGTAAATAGATATTTATGTGGGCATGTTTTTGTTGGATTAATTTCATTGATAGAATCATTAAAAAATATTTTAGCTCGAATATTATATAGGCCTAACGTTAATTTGTTTAATTTCTATATAATATTATAGGGTGGAAATGTCAGTCATGGTCAAGTTGACGTATACGCGTGCACTATGCGTTGTGACGATTATAATTGCATTTCAAATTACCAAAGCTTCAAAATGTACGATTAAAGACGATGTCTGCGATTGTAATAGTATTACAGATATTCACGACTTACAATTACATTGCAATGGAACAAAAACTGTGTTGCTGAGCAATAATCAACTGTCGGAGTGTGATTGGCCAAATGGATTAAATCTGGTAAACTTTACTGGAATAACTAATGTGACAATATCAGAAAATAAACTTCAAACGATACCGATTGAATTCTTACCTGCTGATCTAGAAGTACTAATATTATCTAACAACAGAATTAGATATATCCCAGGAAATCAACTATCAAGATTAAAGAAATTAAATGCTCTCGATATTTCAAACAATAACATATCATGCGTTCACAATGACGCATTTGTTGGACTTCGTAAATTAGAAAAACTCAGCTTGAACGGCAACAATCTTGATAACTTCGAAAACATTATTACTACGCTAAGGAATGTACCATCGTTGAAAAGTCTGGATTTATCTGAGAATCGTTTCGAAAATGTCTTCGGTCATGAAAAGTCTTCAAACCTTAAATCTAGCGAACAATACCATATGTGTTGTACAAATTAGCAGTTGTACCTATAGGTTACCGAACCTTACAATGATAAACTTGGAAAACAATAATTTGACGTGGTTTCCGAAATCTATTACATATTCACTCAATGACACGAACATTCTGCTATCGAATAATCCGCTCCGATGTAGTTGTGATGTATTGCTTCCATTACTAAACTTCAAAGGTTTGACGTGTGTCGACGAAAATGGCACAAAGTACGATATGAACTATAATTTAGTATCAGGATGTAGTGTTGTTGCTATGGACACACGTAATACCACAAGATCTGAAGGCTTAGTAATAAAATCTGGGAGCTTCGTCAGCAATCGAAAGTGTTCTGACAAATTCGACTGCAGTAAATTTACAAATTCAACAATAAAAAATGAATGTGACGAGACAACAGAAATTTGTTGGGATCTACCCGAAGATGTCCGTGAGGAAATAAGAGATTTGGCAATAGTGAACGAGCGTGGTTACCTGAACTTGACTATGGCTGGACATTTCAACCTCTCTGGCACTTTCTTTTACACAGAGTATCATACATGTTATGAGAAGCACCTGTATTCTATAGCTGGAGAGGTTACACACTCGATGAAGACATTTAGTCCTGCACAAGGAAACTGGTCCAGAGATGGCTGCCCGGTGGCGAGTACACCTATATCGTGCATTCCTGATGATAATGGTCGTCTTCCTGATGATGGTCGTCTTCCTGATGATAATGGTCGTCTGGCTGGCTGGAAGATTACTTTAATAATAGTAATGTCATGCGTATTCTTTGTATCGGTAGTTGTGACGGTGATCAAGTGGAGAAAGAAATCAAAACCTGAATTTGAAAGAGATCAAGATAGAACTACCCTACGGTATTCTATTTCAAGACCAGGGATTGAATCAGATGGAAGTCGACGTGTTCCTCATGTTGTCATTGATGGGTATCTGACAAAAATAGCTGATGTATCTAAACGAAAGTCCCCAATCTATGATAGCATTATTCATGCAACAAAAGCAGAAGCACAGGGGTACACATCTGTTTATTTGGACACATATGGATATTTGATAATGAATTCCAGTCGTAAAAATCGCAATACTTCAAATACCGTTGGATATTATCTTATCTGTCCTAAGAAATCAACTATGGAAATACTTGTAGATGCAGATGGATATTTAAGTGTAAATCAACCGGAAGTTTATAGTTCAGATGACGGACACACTTGTATAACTTTAAGAAAGGATCAAGGCAAATTAGGACAACTGGTAGCAGATCCAAACATGTACATGAAACTTGAAGCCAGGCCTCCTAATGATAATCACATCTACACTAAACTTTCTACCGCTTGGAATCTCCTGAAATTCTGGCTGAATAAAGAAGAGGAGGTTCAAAATGCACGATGAGTAGGCCTACGTTAATGACCAATGACAGTAGTCAATTAATACACTCTTTTACTTATTATGCCACGTGTTTCTGTGATTTGTCTAAGTTAAAATTCAAGTTCGATTTATTTTCGAATAAATGAAATTTGTTTCTAGTGTTTAAAACGTATACTCATTTATTTGAGGTCGGCCTATATTTTATTCAATCTTCAATATTCTTTAAATGCGTTCATATCAGAAACAAGTCTGAATTGCGTATGGAAAGTAAAATATAAAAACTGTACAAAATTGAAAAACAAAAAAATACAGAAATTGACATAACAAATTTAAGGAATATTGAGAAATCGTTGAAAAGCAAAACATACATCTGGAGAAATGGAACTAATATCATATTACAGATCATAAAGAAATAGGCTCACTTTAATTAGACCAAAAATAAAATATAAAAAATAATAGTTAATGTAATATTAAAATGTAAAAACAGATAGATTATTTTTATTTTAAAATATCAGGTGGAATGAACAATGATATAACAATAATAATAATTAAACTGTATAAGGGAATTATTGGGCTAGAAGGTTTTCCGACTGCAGGGGCTGCTGAAATCTGTCGTAAATTTGCCTTTTCCGCCTATAAATATTATCTAAATGGTTTTCTAATTGATCAACCATAGCATGACTCTCCGCAAGTCAAATAAATTGTTTAAAATTGTTTTGCATAAATTTAATCGTTTCATTGACAATTTGTATTGCTTATATAATAATTACCTCGCCCCACGAAGTGGAGTGAGGGTACTGCAATGAGCTCCGTCTGTCTGTCTGTAGGTCTGTCGGTATGTCGTGTAGTCCGTCGTGGGGTCGGTCTGCCTGTCTGTGAAGTTTGAGTTTGTCCTTCCGGGAGCATAAACGAAAACTACTGGACGCTTTAACGTCAAACTTTAACACATTGACAATATTACATGTATCTCGGTCCTCCCCGATTTTGGTGCTCATCAGAAGTGGGATGTAGATTTTAGAACGTTATTTATTAACATAGTTTTTTCGCAACTAACAGAGCCAACTCGAGCGGATCGTTAGACTGAGTCATTTGGCTAGACCAGGCTGACTGGAGCGGATTGACCGCGGACTGTCTTGAGCTTACCGACCATGTGTCAAATTTTGGCCAGCGGACTGAAAGCAGCCCGGAAGGCATTTAAGTCGTACAATTTAAAAAAAATCTTATAAATAAGGAAATATGAAAAAAAAATATTTTATAAGATGCACAAATACTAGATAATCTGAGATTACAAACCCTCGAGCTGTAAATATCCACGTTTTGTGAAAAGATAAACTATGGGGTTCAAATCTCACTCTAATTTTTTTTAATTATTATTATTATTTATTTGTTATTTTTATTATTTGTGCATATATATTAAAAATTAAGAACCAAAAATTGTGAAAAATAATGAAATAATAGGCCTAATAAGAATAATAATTTTTGAATTCTCCAGTATCTGTATCTGTAAATTTTAAGAAATAACAATAGTAATAATAATAATATAATAATATAATCGAATGTATGGGGTTCAAATTTCACACTTATTATTATTATTATTATTATTATTATTATTATTATTATTATTATTATTATTATTATTATTATTATTAGGCCTAGTAATTATTATTTGTGCATCTTATCTTTCATATTTTTATGTTTAATATATATGTACAAATAACAAAAATAACAAAATAATTAAAGAAAAACAAAAAACAAAACAAAAAAGAATAAGATTTGCACCTCATACGTTCGATTACCTTTAAAACGTGCATCTTTACCGCGCGGTCACATTTCACCTGACATAGACAGTAATATCATACCTCATAATACAAGAACAACCAGAAGATACAAATATATGGCGCGACAATACCCGGGCGAGGGTTTGTAATCTCTGATTATCTTGTTTTGTATTGCAAATTATTGTATATTTTCATAAATGTATTTTGAATGTAATGAACCAGATATACTAAAGTAGGCTTTACAGCTATGAGGATTTAAAAATTATGTAAAAGCAGCATTTTTATTATGTTAATCTGTTTTATGTACCAAATAATGCTATATTGAACGAAACCGAATTTAATTGAGTTACAATTTGAATACAATGCAGAGTTGGAATTGTAGGCCCTACGTAAGAAACAACATAAATTAAAATATATAATGTACTGTATACACTTTGAATTTTCTGTTTATGTTTGTGTAATTAAAAAGACAACATTAAATTTTAATATAGGGCCTACTACAAATATGTATATTCTTCTGTAATAAAAAAATAGCTATCTTATAGTTTGTAATAAACTAGTATATGTTGCAATTAATTTTTTTTTAATTGTTTATAGTAGAGTAATTTCATTTACAAGATTTTAAACTTAAAAAGCAGTTCTGTCTTACTTTTTACCGTTTTCATCATTAAACCTACTTTTTATTGTAGCCTACATGTGTAACCCTGTTAAATTTTACTTTTTTTTTATAAGCTTTAAAATTTGTATTATTTGCCACTCTGCAAGGTATAAATGTTGTTATTCCATTTAAGTTTTAACTTTGGTATATGTACTGTACTGTATATAATATAGCTGAGGCCACTCAGTGTAAGTGTCCCTGCTATTCTCATTAGTGGTTATGTTTAGGAATTTATCCTCTGTTTCTAAGGCAACTGCTGGGCAATAGGTGTTATCGGACACCCCCACAGTGATAAGGAATTCACTTCTCACTGACCCTGCTTACAAACAACATCTGTAAGGATTGAGGACCTAATATTTGCCACACCTTATTTGAAAAGTCATACTTTTAACATCTTTTATATTGCAATTTTATCAACCCGGAGAAGTCTTACTTTTACCAATTTTATACTGCATTTTATCAACTGTTTATGATTTGACACCTTGGCTCTTTTATAGGTAAGAATCAAATTTCCTGTTTTGTACTTGATTTAATTTGATTTAACGTTAGTTTATCTGCAATATGACTTGTAGCTCGCACTAGCTTTCAACGGAACAATTAAGTTGCAGTGTTCCGCTCTTGATTTAGGATTTGCCTAAACTAAACAATTTTATAAACTTTCAATTATGCTATATTGTTAATTTGCTTATCTTATATTGTAATACCACTTGCAATTGCGCTTGGTAATTTGTATTGTTATGTACAGTAAATAACGTTTTGCAATCACACATTGTCTCCATTTGATAATTCATAAAGTCAGTAAAGTGATTTACTTTATGTTAAATAAGCCTAAATTCTGAGTGTATCAGGACAACTCTAGTGGATATGGGTCATTCACTAGAGGGCAATACATTCACGTTATAGTGGACCTGGAGGCATTGGAGTGCGATTGTAAAATTATTACTTTTAATGTTTTTATCTTTATCTTTATGTTTTATTCTTTTATCATTTGAAAAAGGAACGAATGCATTAACCATCTTGATCTTAAGTACGATCATGATATGCAGATAGACGAAGTATATGCCAGTTTTAGTGTAAAATAGGCAGGCATAATATTGGATTTATTAGTAATAATTTATCCGTTACGTTGCATCTTAGCGAAATGGTATAAAAGTATTAGCATACTTGCCTAACCTGAACCTAAGTTATTTATGTAACTATGTTGTTTAATTAATTTGGATGTGTATCCTGAGCTAATCAGTTTTGAACTAGTGTAATGTTGACTGATATAGTAATTGAAACGTTTAACTATGATTTTTAGTTTTAATTTTTACAATTTTGGTAGACTAACTGTATTGTACATCATGGAATGTGTGTACAAGTATTGGTATATTGGTATATTTTATTTAGTTTAGATCTTTTAGTTTTTAAGTGTTTATATTTTCTCTTCTATAGACGAAAACTTAATTTCGGATATTATAATTTTGGCTTTAACATGACAATTGGAAAGGACCTGTAATCGTACCAGCAATTGGAAGTGTGGAACTCTTTTCGTAGATTGAACTTCTTTTTAAAACTCTTTTGGAAACACTTAGACAAGAAAGAACAATTTCGCGATCAAGAATTTGCTCATCAACCTAGATTCTATTCATATTGTGAAATCAAATCTCACCAATTCATTTTTTTATTTTCAAATAAATACTTAATATATATATATTTTAACAAGGCATCTTCCTGGATTATTATTTATTTGTAATATTGTCCTGGAATATTTGGTTTTCAAGGAAATTCGGGTTACAAATGTCTGCAAATATTAATATTTAATTACCGTATAATGTGTATATATACAATGTTGATGCGTATGTTTTTCAACCTCGGAGAATCTCTCGACAATGGTTGTATTTGCTACTTACTGTGAATCCAACTCCGGCACAGAGCCGTATGCTGATTGTGGTTGATAGTCTGAACGGATAGTGATTAAAACGATCCGTTGCACGAGCGTCGTGGCTTTACGTTCTTCATAGAATGTATCTGTTGTTTTATGTATCATTTCGACACACTAATGAGAAGAAATAATTTAATCTAACAAACCGTTGACAGTTCACCTTACATTTATTTATTATTCGTCACATCCTGTCGGTACTGGCGCTGCACTGTGGATGCCGTGGGTCCATATATGGGGCTCAGTCAAAATTTTGTAAGGGGCATATGTACGTCAACCTAAGCTCTTTAAATACCAATAATGCCTAAAATATGTTTAGGCATGGGCCTATATCGTTCGTTCGTTCCTTGGCACGGGGACCGAGGACATTTATTTGTTCGTTTTACACAATGGCCTCTGGCCCATAAAAATATAGGCTTACATAAATTTAAAGAGCGATATGATGAATATATAAATTTAGATAAACAATAAATAATATTGGGAGCACTGGTGGATATTAAACGACTGAATTTGAATATAGACGAACTTAACTAAAGTATGCAGGTATGAAAGTATTTCTAATACAGTATCTGAATAAAATGGGCAAATTAATGTAAAATGGTATTCATCTTCAACTAAATTTAAGGAGCAAAATTTGCATTTTCTATTATTTCGATCTGATTTAATCCATCTACCAATTTCAAGTTCGAGGATACCTAGACGAAGTTTAGTTAGAATCCGTCTATATTTCAATTCTTCAAGATTTAATAAATAGGTATCAACATTATAATTGTTTTTAAATGTATTGTAGTATTTAAGCTTTGGATGGGAAGCGATTTTCCCTTGGAGTCGTTGACGTTCAATGTCGATTAAACGTAAAGTTAATTCGAAAATAAATTCGTAATGATTAGTAACATTCTGTGCGTCCCAAATATCCCCAAATCCAATAGAACATAAAATGTGTTTGATAATAGGCCTATAGTTTTTGTGTTTGATATAGGCCTATATATATAGGCCTATATGTAAAGTATTTTAACAACATGAACAAACTAACTTGAATAAAAGGGTTAAAATAATTTAATGAATGGAAATAACATAGTACAGTTATTGTAGGTGAAAATTACCATCTGAATAGTAGATACGTCACGCATTATATGTATCGTCAGGTTTTGTATACAATTACGTTTGGTTGGTTACCCGACGAAAGGCGACGCCCAACACACTGTGCCTTGTTTACGGCAATGCATACCTCCTTATGATTTGTCGCCAATACAGGACTACATTAAACAATGAACTTGATATATGTATATACCTTAAGTTAAAAATCAGAAACACTAAGTATAATTTGCGATAACTTATTAGCAATATACATACATTTGAATCTGTTTAACCATGAAGTCTCCGTGGTCTCCGTGGTCTAATGGTTATGACGCTCGCCTTGACAGCGAGAGGTCGCAGGTTCGCGTCCCGCCAGAGGCATTTTATTACACAATTTCTTTATTCGTTTATTTACAGGACTACATTCGTTGAGAGCTATGCTACACGATGTATTATTATGTCCTTTATTCGAACACTGTATTTACCTTTATTTGATGATTTATATATATATATATATATATATATATATTATATATATATATATAAAATATAGAAAGACAGCAATATAAAACAGCTATGAGTTGTAGACATATTAGAAGCAATATAATTTATTAATTCACAAATATTTCAAACACTCCTGTGTTCTTCCTCAGTGTGAGGACAACCGATACAAAGTAAAGCAATATTTACACACGAAACGAAAACAGAACATCGAATCAGCGGTAAAGAACAAAGGCG